ACCAACAGCTGAGTTACCGCCTTTTATACTATCAGGCATTTCTCCCGCCTTCTTAACATGCCTTCTTAGTGTAGTGGTTAGCACGATCGGCGCGTATTCGAGAGGCCCATGGTTCGAGTCCCGGCGAAAGCGTTGCTCATTTTTCATGACCCCTGCTTTCAAAAAATACCTGATGGCTCTACAGTGGCTCCCGAATTAAAAAAAAGTGGTGGATAAAGATTCTCCACCACCAGGATTTGACGAATGGGTCCCCTAGTCCTCAGTTTCCCTTTAAAAAAAGGGGTATATAAATTGTTTCTCCCGCCTTCTTAGGGTGCCTTCGTAGTATAGTGGTCTGCACGATCGGCGCGTATTCGAGACGTCCGTGGTTCGATTCCCGGCGAGGATATTAAGGTGTAGCGGGCTGCTTGTGAAATCATCTTTCATCTTGTGAAATTTATGTGTTAAATAAAGGTCATTGCTGTGTTCCATCAATAGAGTTTGCTTCAACTGCGAAACAAGTATCATAGTCTTATTTATTTTGGGGGGCACTGGGAAGATCGAATAATCGTGCTTGTTTTTATTTTAATACTTCATCACTGAACGCAATACAACTACGATGACACCAGGTTATTACTTCCAGTTAACGTGTATAGCCTTATTTTATTACCGTGTTGGATATTATGTTTAATATTCATTTTAGTTGCCCAACAGTAGACATATATAGTGTATCCATTGTTAAATGTTGTTATTTTTACTTTAGTCACAATTAATGTTAGAGTATGAATTTCATATAATTTAAATATCTCATGTTTGAGGTTTGAGTATTTAAGAGAGTGCATTTAATTCCACTATTCCTGAGTGTATTAATCAATTAAAGTAATTAAATGGAGTTGTTTTGAGGAAGCATGAAGAACAGAGTGTTTATAAATATTAAAACTACAAAAAATATCTTACTTAGAAAGAACTCGTAAGGAAGATTTGCAAAATCTAGCTGCTGAACTGGGAGTGCATGTGACTGCAGATTTGAAAATAGTCGATTTAAAACAGAAAATTGTTGAGAGCAGAGATTATGATGAAGTATCAGTCAAAGGAGTCTTAGGCATGATAACAGAAGATCGGAGAGAGGAAGGAAAGAAAAGTATGTAGGAGGCAGGAAAAAGCAGAAGAGCAGAAAAGGAAAGAATAATAAGATTTAGAGAGATTAAAGACTTGAAGCAGACACAAAGTTTCAAACTACCGACAAGTCCGGCCGAAAACGAAGCTGCGTCCCCTTATGCAGAAATTCGGTGACAAGAAACGAGATATCAATCTATATTTGCTACTGTTTGAAAGGCACGCAAAATGGGCTCAAATTGATAAAGAAGAATTTGTATCTCATTTACTAGAATTACTTCCTTGCGAAGTAACACAGTTAATAGCTAAAGAACCCTCCGATAAAGCTAAAGCGTATGAACACGTGAAGAATTTATTATTAAGACGATTTAAGAAAAGTCCGGAAAAGTTTAGGCAGAAATTCGTAAAACATCAAAAGCTGTTCCGAATCCACATAAATGGATTTTAGCTACAAAATAGAAAATTATTGCAAAGAATGAGTGACTGGCTTGGGAGTTGAAACTTTTGATCTGTTGTTAGACTTGACGGTGATTGACCAACTTAAACGTCGAGTTCCGTCTGAAATTCGAGATCATTTTCTTAACAAGTGCGTAGAGATGATTTCATCCAAGAAAGTATCTAAAAACCTTGATTGTCTATGAAAATGCACGCGAAAACGTTCAAAAAAGGTTTGTAGTAAATCGGCAGAAATAGAAATACAATTCGCAAACTCAAAGTAAAATGAGTTCAGATAATAAAAATAAAACTGAAAATTAATGATCATCAAGATTTAATTCGCAAAGCTGGTTCCATTGACCTAGAAGTCCACGTCCAGATGATAATTATGAAAAATAAAAGACGCCACAATGCTATCAATGTGGATCCTATCAGCATTTAAGACCTCAATCTACAAAACTTAAGAATAGTACTAAATTTCATGCTAATCTAAACAGAATTACTGCAAAAACAGAGGAAAATTTCTATTACCTTATACTAGTATGAGATACGTAAATGATTATAAAATTCCTATATTAAGGGATTCAGGTGCTAGAATTGATAGAGTTTGTCGCAAATATATCAGCGCAGAAATGCTGACAGGTGAAAAAGTATCTGTGCAACAGGAGCCAAATTTCAGTTGGATTTGAATCCAATCTGTTTACAGTTGGCTGAGGTCGAACTAAACTGCGTTTTCGGGTGAGTAATAACCAAGACTGCCATTATTAGAAATGAACTCGACAAAGGAAGGTACTGTTGCTTGAGTACGTATGGGTTCGTAATAGATTGAATGTGCACAAGTTCGATGATAGGTTAATAAAAATTAATTTTATCAAAATAAACATTTCAAAGTTCTGGAATTTTCCGCAGAAATACTCATACAGGAGTTCAAAGTATCACAGAGTACAATCAGCACCAACCAACTAAGAACGTTAAAACACAACGCAACGCAAAGCATATCTAAAGAAGACGCAAAGCATATCTACACGCGGAACTAACAACTAAACAACTGCCCAACTAAGAGCAGATGCTCTCTCTCCGACCTTACATAGTTTTCAACCAACCGCCGATATATTTCTAGTATTTTCTGCTTCTCAAAATTACTGGAAAGTAATACGAGAGTGGAATTATTGTTACAGCTAACATAGTGTCAATTACTTTTATTCAATTTCAATACATATTACGGTGATACAAGGACCGGACCAAACTGTCACCGAATTTGGCGATTTAAAATAAGTCGCCAAATTGTCAGCTTGGTGATATCTCGCCAAATTATCGAAATACCCATTTACTCAATGTTAAATGCAGTTGCTCCTGTATTCTTACTTTCCCGGCATAGATTCTCTTTAGATTTTGTTGATGTTACAAAAGAAATACAACAATAATCTTTCGGAAATAGCTGAGCACGATGAAGAGAAGATCTCGGAACCGATGAAGGACAAAAATGAAGCATCCAGAGGTGCCTTTGAAGAAGTTAAATTGCAGCAATTAAATACGGAAGATGAAGCTCTCAAGAAATTAGTAAACACCGACTCAAAAGAAGTTAAACGACTTCAGCATACTGATAGTGATTTTCCTGTTTGTTCATAGTCGACATTTGGCGTTGACTTATCATCATGTATTTCGTTTTGAGTTTTACCTTTTAATTTAAATTAAAGTTTATCCTATGAGTTACTGAAATCTTCGGCATTCCTATTGATGAACCTTCTGATAAGTTTGGAGTATTGTGGCGTAAACCATCGCGACAAATGCAGTAACTTATAACAGATCCAAACAGAAATTTAATCATCATAAATAGTATATTTAAAAAATTAGTGTAATGAGATAAATCCAAAAAAAAATATGAAAAACTGGAAAAAATCAAATTCAATAAAACTGTCTTGTGATAATCATCTACATCTATAGATGACAACATGTATCTTAGACAACATGACTGTCAGTGATACTCAATACTAGCATTTAATTATGATCTCAAAAATTTTCAGAGATGTTCACAATTAGAAGTTTATTATAAATTCAGTCATCAAATGCAAAAAAGTAATATGCATCAAATTTTATACTTTAACAATTACATCTATTAGATTATTAATAAATGTATTAATAATCATCGATTACTTTCCTTGGAAAAGCAATGCTCCAGTTAAAATATTAGAGAGTTTTAAGGACGAATTCACTGCTGATTCTAAATGATAGTTTCAAAATATGGTTAAAGTGATGCTTATTGCCTAGCAAACAGAAACATACTGTTACGTTATTTTCTTCCTTTACGTTCGTACGGGGTTCGTAGATTTGGAGTGAATAACGACGACACTTGATGAAGTACCGAAACACACTTTATTTAACCAATACTAATCAGAACAGCTCCAAAGTAACGTTTTACAGTCATCGAAGATCTACTATAAACACGCTGACACAATCAGCGACACAGCCTTCAGGTTATCAGGCTATAACGGTGGAGACAGCTTCACTGCAAAAGCACCAGAGTACAGCTCCCGATTCTGCTCGGTCGTTCTCGGGACTCCACGTACTCTCGAAACTCTCCATCCTGCTACTCGCGATGCATTCGACGTCACACAGAGCACGACTCCCGGCTCTTCGCTACAACTCGCGATGTACTCGACGATACACAAGAGTATAGCTCTCGACTCAGCACAGTCTAAGACAAAACTAGACGATGCACTAAAAGACTCTCGATGCACTCGACGGCCAACTCGGCGCTAGACATCGAAACACTCGCTCAGTGACTGACCATCAGCTCGCTAGACGAGGCACACACACTCGCACTCTGGACCAGCATGGTCGGCCTGTGTGTAGCTTTCGGCCTGTGTTCGAGATCATTCTGGGCTAAACCGGTAAGAATTCGTTCCAGAAGGTTCTCCAACCGTCCATGGTATATCGCCAATTTTGTCGCCAAATGTGGCAACCCTGCCTTCATTGCTATTTTATGACAACCCTAAAATTGCTTTGCGGGGAAGCCATCTTATTGCGCCTGTACATTTCGTAACACTGCCCCCTCCCTAGGACTGCACGTCCCGGGCAGTACAACCCTTGGTCAGAAGCCTAATTCAATACAAATAAACGTAATGAAACAAACATAAGATATAAATAAATAACATAACTAAAGAAACAGATATTTACATTATGTACAATTTATATACACAAATTAAACACATAACAATTTTAAATTACACAAATTAAAGTTCTGAATGAATTTCAGTCTCAGTCTTTTCATTAACTTATATTCGGGTCAAATACTTTTCCACTGCAGTTCTCAGATGCATTTCTGTTTTGCATATCACAGTCTGAAGATTCAGTCCTTTCAGACTTTTCATCCACAGAAAGATCTGAAACAGTTTTTTCAACAGTCTGTAATTCATACGCAGCATGCGTACAGTTCACCTCGGTATTTTCAGCAATTGGTACATGCTCATTTACCTCCGTTTCCTCGGACCAGTTCCGAAGTTTGTACCAGGGTCGCGAATAGAATCCGATTCTTTACAAGCAGAAGTATCCGGGTTTAGAATCAAGTCCTTGTCCGTAAAACCTCCACTATGAGACGCACACACAGTTTGCGAAGTGGGCGAATTTTTTTGCAGTACTGGAGCACTCTGCGTAAGTTGTACATCAGCTTCTCCCATCTCTGTATCACATGCACTTTCAAATGGTTCAATATTTGCTAACTGCGACTTCGTAACTTCACTATTAGTTTCGTTTAACTTAACAGTCGCATTTTCACTTTCTTCCACTTCAGGCATTTGAGAATCAGGAATTTTATTTACATAAATTATTTCTTCTCCTCTTTCAGAAGCTTTGCAAGCCACTTCGTTTATTTCTTCATCTTCACAAGTATGATCATTGTCTTCCAGTTCAACTTCGGACACCTGAGGATAAGAAGCGTCTTCCCCGTCTTTTTCTTCATCTTTTCGTTCTCTTTCTTTAATCCCGTAAGATGTTTCATCCTTTATTTCTTTTGCTTTCTCAGATCCTTCACTAGCTACTTCCTTCATTTCTTCATCTTCTGATTCTTCAGATGCCACTTCCGTCATTTCCACATCTTCTTTTATAGCTCCAGTTTTTTCTGCAAGCTCCACTTTCACCTGTCGGAGTTACCCTCGCACCTTTTCTTAGCCGACATTTATTTCTTCTCGTCGGGCTTTCTTCTCTTCCAGTCCGGCTTTCATCTCTTTCAGTCCGGCTTTGATCTCAGCTCTCATCTCTTCATATTCAGTTTTTATCTTTTCCCGTCCAGCTTTCATCCTATCATATCCGGCTTTTATCTCAGCATATCCGGCCTCAGCTCCATCTGTCCGGCTCTGATCTCGGCTAAGAAGTCCATCAAAGTCTTCATCTCCTCCGCCATGGCTTTCATCTGCAGGCGGGTCACTGGCATTCACTCGCAAATCCCACTTTTGACGTTATTTGCTTTCTTCACGTTCGTACGGGGTTCGTGAGGATTTGGAGTGAATAACGACAATCTTACTTGATGAAGTACCGAAATACACTTTATTTAACTAATACTGATCAGGACAGCTCCAAAGTCACGTTTTATAGTCGTCGAAGATCTACTATAAACACGCTGACACAATCAGCGACACAGCCTTCAGGCTATAGCGGTGAAGACATCTTCACTGCAAAGCACCAGAGTACAGCTCCCGACTCTGATTGGTCGTTCTCGGAGCTCCACGTACTCTCGAAACTCTCCAGCTACTACTCGCGATGCACTCGACGTCACACAGAGCACGACTCCCGGTTCTTCGCTACAACACGCGATGTACTCGACGATACACAAGAGTATAGCTCTCGATTCAGCACAGTCTAAGAAAAAACTCGACGATGCACTAAAAGACTCTCAGTGACTGACCATGAGCTCGCTAGACGAGGCACACACACTCTCACTGCGGACCAGCAGGGTTTATATAGCTTTCGGCCTGTGTTCGAGATCATTCTGGGCTAAACCGGTAAGAATTCGTTCCAGGAGGTTCTCCATCCGTCCATGGTATATCGCCAATTTTGTCGCCAAATGAGGCAACCCTGCCTTCACTGCCATTTTATGGTAACTCTAAAATTGCTTTGTGGGGAAGCCATCTTACCGCGCTTGTACATTTCGTAACGGTGACCAGACAAAAGCCCACTGAACGAAAGCGCACGCGACAAAAGCCCACAAAAAAGAACCCACTGGGATTATTGCCCATGCGACTAATACCCACACCGATGAAAGAGCACATTGATAAAAGCCCACACAGATAAAAGCCCACATTGATAAAAGCCCACATAGATATAAGCTCACGCTGATAAAAGCCCACACTGACAAAATCACACCGATATGTATGCCTAAGTTAAAATTAATATTATTTCCCTTTTTCTTCAGCTTCACAAAAACCGGTGTGCGGAAAAAATGACACCCGGAAAAAAGGGAAACGGAAAGAATGTCCCCGGAAAATAAGGAACGGAAAAAATGTCACCCGGAAAATAAGGAACGGTAAAAAAGGAACTCTAAAATCTCGCCAAATAATGTCGCCAATCTTAGTTGGGTACACCGGCCAAATTCTAATTTAACCGGCAGGGTTATAGCGGATTCTCTTGAGGGAGGTTTTAAGGGTAAGATGTTGAGCTGGCTGCAGCCGAGCAAGGTGATTTCGATGTGAGGTTTTTCCAACTTGCCTGCGGGAAAATGGTATGTTCCTCCCCCGCGTTTGCTTCATCCGTTTCATTTAGGAAATCGACCCACATCACTCGGAAGGAAAGAATCCATGGGGAGCAAATGTTTCTTCTCTGTTATATCAATGATTGCCGCCCTTAAAACTAAATTTCATCCATCCCTAACTGGAAGTTAACAGTTTGTGTCACATTAAAGTGTTGATAAATGAGGAATCGTCAGTAAAGACGGCACGCGAAAGCTGCTTGTTTGCAGGACTAAATAGCTTAATAATTTGATAAGCTGTAAACATTTAAACAGAACTATTGGCGTAGTATAGTCTGTTATATTTTATTACGGTTTAACGAATCTAGCAATAATATTATATTACGCATTCCTTTATTATTTAATCTATCCGTAATATGAAATATAATTTTCTAAACACTAAGGATTTATCATCAGTTAATTTATAAAACGATAGATATTTTTTAGTGTCAATTTCTTTTTCACTTTAACGGTTTATCATTAGGTGGGGCTAAAGAGACTTTGCTCCTAGAGGACTATTCTTTTCGTTTTGCGACTTTACGTTTAATCCCTATAAATGGCGAATCACTTTTCAAACTGTTTCCACCAAATGTTAGAGACCTGAATTATGTTTGAAGAAATTAAATAATGAAAAATCTGCATAAATGTATGTGTATTTTTCGCTTTGTGATAAAACAACAGTGCATAGAACCATCGAATTATGAATGACGTAATCCTCCTGCGAATATGGGCATCTGGAAGCCCAAATTTGAAATTTGTTTTATTATCAATTTCATATTTTGTAAAACTTTAATGAATTTTTGATTAACAAACTCAACGATTTAAAAGCGAAGAATGGCAACATTATACGAAAAAAAATTATCTCCAGCGCGCGGAACTGTGTATCGGAAATTCTAAAGATATGCTCATTTTAAAATTATTTTGCGACATTGCTATTGAACTGAATTTTATGGTTTAAGCGCAAAGAACATGATATTTAATAAATAAAGGTAACACACAAAAGTTAAAAAACCGCCCCCTTTGGACGTAATTTAAAACCTGAAACCTTTCAGATTTTTTGGTTATTAAGGTTTTTTTTTTTTTTTTTTTTAAATATGAATGATGGGCCTTCAGCCGACTTCGATTAAAGCCAGAAGTAGTTGTCACTTTATTATGCATGCAGCTAATAAGTGGGCCACCTTTGCCTCCTATGAAGGGACGGGCAATTAGAACTATGCATTCCCTTGGACTCGAACCCAGGCCGTTAGGTATCGCAGCTGGCTCCCCTAACCACTACACCGTCTGTGCGGCATTTATCATTAGATAGTTGATAGAATACTATATTCTATACAAATTAATATAGTTATTTTAAAATAATTAGCTTAACCGGCTTGGCTAGTTTTTTCTCAGTCAAATACTCACTTTATTCGAGGAAATAACTGCATTATACGTTTTAACGGTAACATATTTTACACTATATTTATTTTATATTATAATTTTTACTATATATAAATATAGATACGGGCATACACGCAATCGAATCGGCTTAATGTATTTTCATTTATAGAATAATGCCCTTCTGAATGTGAACAGTGGTTTTTCTTCTGGTGATTATCTTCCTACTATGATTAGGTCCACCAGCGGCCGAGCGGTAAAGTCGCTGAACACTGGTAGTTCGGTCCGAGGTTCGAATCCCGCGAACGGACTGGCTGCATGAGTGTTTTCGTGGTTTTTCCCCATGTGTAACGTGTATACGAGCCAATTTCCCTTAGAAAGTCCTCCACGAAGGCATTCCTCCCCTTAGGCAGATAGCCCTACTGTGCTTTGCCATAATTAAATACACCACACACCACCTACTATGATTAATATTTCTGAGAACTTGGACATTGGTGCTGAGAGCTATTTCTATAATTCGCAAAAGCCCAAAATCTTATGAACCTGTGCTAGTCATCTTAGAAAGGGTTTACTGTACTTTCGTTCCCTAAATGTAGCAATTTATTGCTATGAAAAAATTTCGTGTAGTAGAATATAATCCATTCATGCAAGCCCTGTTATAAGAATAATTTAATAAAGAAGCAAAATTATCATTGTATTCAAAATTGCATTTTTCAAGTGAGGTAGTAAGGAGTTATGACTTTCTTATCGGTTAAATGTTGCTATTTCCGATTTTTAACTTGCTAATTTAACATTTATTTTATTTTTTTTTTAACCCAAAGGGACGTTAGACCCGAACGGCTATTAGTCTCAAAACGACATTTTGCATGGCTTCACTTTCAAATTGTTGCTACAAAACATTATTAGCATGCATTATATTTAAAGAAACTAAATAATGAAGATTCTGCATGAATGCATGAATGTTTCTCGCATTTTCAAAAACAACGGTACCTAGAGCCATCCAATTTTGAATAACGTAGTCCATCCAACCGAACATGAGCACTTGTAATCCCGAATTTGGAATTTGTTTTATTAGCTATTTCCAATTTTGTAAAACTTTAACGAATTTTTTATTAACAAACTCATTGATTTAAAAGCGTACAATGGGAACACTACGAAAAAAAAAAGGTATCTCCAGCGCCCGAAACTGTGTATCGGAAATTCTTAAATTATGCTCTTTTTAATATTTTTTTGTGATATTGCTGTTGAATTGAATTTTATGGTTAAGTGCGAAGAACATTATATTTAATAAATAAAGGTACCACACAAAATTAAAAAACACTCTTTTGGGCGTAATATAAAATATGAAAAGCTTTCAGATTTTCCTTTACTCTCTCTCTCTCTCTCTTTTTTCATCCAAATATAAACTGTAATATTAACAAAACTGACGTGGGTTCCTACTTACGAAGGGAGTTGAAAATTCATTGATTAAGGGGTAGAGGCTTTCTGCTTTGGAAAGAATGCTTTTAAGAAGCACTTTATAAAGGAATTCTCGTAATTACTTTGCGCACTTGAAAAGCACATAAATCTCTATGCACTTATATCTATAACTTTGGATTACAGTGTCTAATCAACACCTTGAAAGAACGGTAGTGGTACTTACTACTGGATAAAATTGTATCTCCCATTAAGGCTTTTATTTATGGGTTCGACATTTCCACATCGATGCTGCATATGATCGACAAGGCAAGCCCTGTTATAAGAATGCAAGCCCTGTTATAAGAATAATTTCGCATAACGTCGACACACGTAGAAGTCGACACTGACATACGAAACGATAGTTATCAGCATAAACGACATGGTAAAAAAGAAATTTTAATAATGGTATATAATAATAAAAGAATTATTGCACTTTATTTTTTACGTGTGCACATCAGTCTTCAGGGCACAGAGTCGCATACAGTCGCATACATACCACATACAGTTTGCCTATATATAATCGGCATTTTCATA